CTCTCTCTCTCTCTCTCTCTCTCCCTCTCTCTCTCTCTCCCTCTCTCTCTCCCTCTCTCTCTCTCTCTTTCTCTCTCTCTCTCTCTGCAGCCATCGGTGTCCAGATGACTCTGGATCTGATTGAGTCTAAATTCTGGGCTATTGCATCACAGGTAAGCATATGCAGACGCCATGTGATGTAAGTGTGTTCTCCTCTACTACGGTAATTTTTGTGTGAATCTACAGTAGTGCAGAGACAGCTCATCGTCCCGTGGACATTTCACTTAATGAGTCCTTCATATTAGATCAAACCCTCTATAAACAAAAAGCTGACTTCTAGTATAGTTGTCAGCTATTTACGACGTCTTGCTTCCAAAACAGAGGCATTTAATGGATGAATCATTAATGTCAGGTACCACTGAGCAATTTCTTGGGGAATTAAACCCTGTGAATAGAGTACTATTGCTTTAGTTTTTTTCATGTGAGATTCATTGTTTTCATTTTTTAATGCCCACCATAAAACAAGTTAATTGTAGCACTACACTGGCACTAATGAGAAATGTCTCTTTGTATTTATGGTTATAGCTGTTATATTGAACAGTGCTTGTGGATTAGAAACAAAATAATCATGCTGTGTTTTTTGTTACCGAGGGATAACACCACCCTCCCGAACTAATGACTCCTGCTGTATGTGGGTTTAACCCGTGGCCTCCGTCCTGTATTCAGGAATATGCCTTTCGACCACCAGCCCGTTCTGACACCATTTATTACTCTGTGACAAGGAGTCAATGATGATTAAAGGTTCTTTTTCTGCTCCATTAGTTGGTAATTAAAGCTTTGTTTGATTCAAAGCTTAATGCATTGTTTTCCATATCACTGCAACCACCATTAAAGGAGAGCTTACCCTGCCGTACTACTTTCAGTGGAGGAGCTTGGCATCCTTTGAGTTCTTCCACACCTTCAAGAAAACATTTTATACGGGGCAACTTGCCTAATTTGCCGTAACGTCTTTGCCATAGCAGGTGTTTGATAGCTTGTCCGTTCCCTTTCTCTGCTCCCATGGCTGTAAATGACAGCAGTTAAAAGAGCATTCGGGCTGCTGGCTAGCCATTAAATGATGGATCGATACCACGGCTAGGCTCAGCAACTCCCAAGTGTGTGCTTGTTTCTTTGTGTGTCTGTGGAGGTGTGAAGAAGAGAGTACCGTATATGCGTATGTGTTTGTTAATGTTAATGCGTGTCATGTTGACAGGGACCATATGCATGACCATCTGTGCACAAGTGTGTTGTTGTGTCCGTAATCATCAACTAGCAGCTCATTAGCAGCACGTGCAGTAGCCTTGTTATCCACTCGGGTTATGCTTTATGCTCAAAGTAACTCCCATTCTTACTCACTGCACCTTTGACTTTCTCTTCTACTGCCTGAATTCTCAATTTTCTCTCCTCTCATGTCCCCTCCTTCTTCTCAGTTCTTCCCTTTCCATCTCCTACACTCCCTCCTTCTTCCCTCGTCTCCTCTCCTCAACCCTCCCTCTTCTCAGATAGGTTACGTAATCATCTTCCTGTCATGTATCCACTGTCAAGCATCTTTATTTAATAGTCGTTTGTGTGTGCATGCACTCACAGTCTGCGCTTGTCCTGACTGTGTACGTTCATGTGTGTCCATCCATGCATGGGTGTGCAGTAAAGGTGTTGCAAGCATCTCATTTTATTTTATTTATCGTGTTTATGTATTGGGTATGATTAATGGATCTATTAATAAATATTGATTTACTCAAGTTTTCACACTACTCCATCATTAGGTGTTAATAAGAGAAATATTTCAGTCACAATTAACTAATACTTGAAATGATCATTGCAAGGAACTCTGTGTAGTTCTCAGATCTCAGGGAAGAGTTACATCAGTGAGGGAAACCCCGTCTGATCCTATAGCTTCAGTATAAGCTTGAGTTCCTTAAAAGTAAGATGGTATTAGTTGATGAATTATGAATTAGTGGGGGGAGGAATAAAGCATGAGCTCTCATCTAATAGGAATGAGTCAGAATATTAGTAGGAAAATGTTCTGACATCTCTGCACAGCACACTCTGTCTTGTATACTGTCTCAGTGTGTGTGCGTGTGTGTGTGCGTGTGTCTAAATCCATGGTGTTTAAGAGTTGCGTATGCTTTGAAAGGGCGACAAACAGTAAAAGAGAAAGAAACAAGTAGAAATTACGACAGAACAAAAAAGGAATTGCGTTTCTCTACTGACACCTTGTCTAAACCTGCAAAGCCGCAATTATCCATTAAAATATACAGTGTGGATTTCCGCAGTGTAAGGATCGAGTGGAGATGCAGTGAGAGACTGTGAGGTGATGGTAATGAGAATCAAAAGATGATAGATTCTTTTCGCCGTGCACATCTTGGCCAGCTCTTTATCTCGTGGACAAGACTCAGCTGGTCTTCCCTTCTCTATAATCCCATATTTATTACTTTCCTTCTGTGTGTGTGATAGCACTGCACCACAACTTTTGAAATATGAAATAAAAGTATATCAGTAAGTACTGTAATTAATGCAACCACAGAATCAAATTTACTTTGGTTGTCATTAATATTTGATTGTTTTATAACGGAAATCGTCAGAAATGGAGCAGCTTTCTTAATAAAAGTATATCTATACAATTTGTAAAATCAGGCTTTATGGCACAGCAAAGCACAGTATGGAAGAGTGGATCATGGTTATAATACTGTGGTGCGTTGCTTAGTTTGAGTTCAAGTGTATACGTGAGTTGACAGCAGGATCATCAGTCACAGCGAGAAACTGTTCGATTGAGGTTCAGAAAATGAGAGTGATAATTGATGCTCTCACCATCACCGTGACTCCTCCTGCAGCTTCCAGATGTGACACATTTACCAACACAGGAAGAGCCTCTTACATGCTGCCCCGATTTAGAAATCTGGCTCTGGTGTTGGAGGTAAAGAGGCTGGATGAGACAGAGAAGTGGTGCTAATAGAGGAGAAACATTTACACAAAGATATGGCCCAAGGCAGTGAGCTGTGATGAACAAATTGTCAGTTTTGATTGTAAATCATTTGCGGCGTGATGGCGGATGGTGAGGACAGTTAATCAGTCCATCTGGCCATGCAGAATAGAATTAAGTTTTTGTGATGACCTGATATGAGTAAATTCTATTTGTCAGCAGGAAATATCATAATGTAACAGACACTTTTCCATTAAATTCATGCTCCCCTGAAGGTGAACTTTTTCCACTTTGGACACTTCATTAGACCAAAATAGCAAACGCGCACACAAAATAAAATGATCTATAGGGCAGATTTCCAATAAATTTGCTCAGCAAACTAACCCTTTTGATTTCAAGGGCCCTATGCCTTTTTCCCAGTGCCACTAATCATGACAAAATTCTATTTTTTGCTCCATTTCTGGCCAAAGCTACAAGGCTAAACAATCTTTAGAATGTAGTTTTTTTTAATTGAATCTAGTTTCCAAGAGTTTTCTATACATTTTATCTCTCATCCAGCCATGCTATGGTACCGACAGCATGTGTGGAAGGATCAACATTTCTGTCAGTCCACTCAATGAATTGTAGTTTATTTCAGGAGGCAGTGTTGGGAAGCGGAGAGAAAGACTGACACTTTGCTGTAATAGGATTGAAAAGGATGATAGATTGTCTCATTCGCACTTCGACGCGCTCTATATAGCCTGACCATGATCCTAAAGACATATTGTCCACAGACGGCAATCCACACAAACGCTGGACAAAAGATGTGGCCATAAAGTCATGACAACTAATGACATGTTGACTCGTGACCCTTCCGCTGATGAGGGAAAATGTTTGGAGGTGAAATTTACAGACAGTGCTGATAGAGAACTTCCACTTTCCACCTTCAAAAGCTGATACACAAATCCTATTTTTATTATTCTGGAAGAAGCCCTAAACACCTAATTACACGTTTTTCATTTTCATACTTTGATTCAAATGTTCATTGATTTGTTAAATGACTGCTTTAAAATCTGTTAAAAACCGTAATTAAATCTACAAAAACTGGCAATCATGGAAAAAACATATTTGCAGTTTTTTGTCTTTTCCCAACAAAGTGCTCTGAGATGATGTATGGCTTTGTCTACAGCGTTCTAACAGCAACAGAGTGAGACCGTCTAGTCAGTGCATTGGCTTACACATCATTAACTGAAGTAATGCTTCTCTCTTCTCCATGTTCTCTCTCTCTCTCTCTCTTTGTTCCTCTTTTCGTGTCTTCTCAGCCAAATGACACAGATGTAAGTATGCATAAGTCCCCCCCTCTCCTCATTTTTCAAAAAAATCACTCGACCTATTTTTTGTCTTCTCTTTTTACTTTTTGCACTGAACCAGATTTAACATCTTCAGCGCCTGCTGAGCTTTGTGAAGTCAGCTTCACACATACACACACACAGTCACAGACATCTCGCGAACAAGACGCTCAGAAGCCGATCACAGGTAGACATCGCACATAAATTAACACTTTCTCACCAGCACTGACACGTCGTTTCACACACATGCACTCGTCGACACTGACACATGTTCAAGCATAACACCTCCGCTGAGAAGACGGACAGAAAATGTGTTCAAATCATCTACTCACATACACAAACATGCCCTCCTTTATATAAATACTCATTAGATAACAACACATGTTACACTTCCAGTCACTTCCACCTATATTTTTGAATCCTTCCTTAATTTATCAATGGCAAAACACTTATTTTCCTTTCTCTCTGTCTGCCTGTCTGTCCTCCAGTGCTCTAATACGGATGGGATTTGTCCTCTTCGGTGTGACAGCTTTGTGAGTATATACAGTATTGCTGTCTGTCTGATATGTAGTGAATGTGAATTCTCAAGTGAGTTCAAATATCTTGCACTATTGTATGGAGCCACAAAAGTAAGAAAGTGACTCGTACAGCTTTAATTTTGAGTCACATCATAACTTTAATTATTTGAATTATTTTTCACTTTGTTATCTTTGTTGTGGGTGTTTGTCACAGATCTTTCCCTACATAAGTAATAAGTGCTTTCTCTGTCTCTGTCTCTCGTCTCAGGATATTGCATGCTACGTGATTGATAATAATGGCTTTGTACTAATTTCCAAACAGCGCAAAGATGTGAGTTCACACACACACACACACGCACACACAAAATGTGCTTTCCAGACTTTCTAGTGCTTTACTTGATTATTTGAGTGCTCTTACGCCTTTCAATTTCTATTAACTAACAAGAAAAGAAACACTCAGAATATCCAAAACATTCTGTTCCTGTTACTTAGAAATAGAATCACTTAAATTTCCTTGCGAGTCAGTTACCAGTCCCACTTCTCATTCTGTGAACCTTTTGTAAAGCGGTAACTAAGGGTTTTTTTCATCCTGGACCCTATTTTTGAAATTGGTCCAGTATTGAGCGAGAGTGCTGCAGCCAGCAGCCACTAAACGGGCTTGGATGTAACCACTCGGGGAAATTGCCCACCGTCAATGTACGTCAAACAAAAGTGCTTGTTTTTGCCATTGACAGGTTCAGATTGTTATCCGATCTGATTATTACCTTTCGCTTGATCCAGTCTGAAATGTGAGGAGAGGATAGCCTGTGTTTTCAGAGTTTGTTGTGTTGGAGTAAAGAAAGCGTAGCGTAGGTGTTTTCCAAAAGATTTTCAACATCATGGATGAATATTTAGCTGATTTCGACAATGTGGATGCGATGCAAGATTTCACGAGACTTCTCCGAGCGAGACTTGGTTGGGCAGTAATTTGAGAATGTCAAAAATAAGCACTTTTAGTGGACCACTTTGACGGTGCACAATTGCCCGGAGTGATTACATCGCAGCCCATTTAGTGGCTTCCGTCTAGAGCGCTCTCGCTCAATACTGGACAAATTTAAAAAATTGTTGTCCCCATTAAAATCTTAGTAACTTAAACACAGGAAGAGTGTGCCAAATTTGCCCTTTAACCAGCAGTGAAGATATCAAGGGAGCCTGATTCAATTGCCAATTTCATTTGTTACCTTTGGCCAGGCTGCTTCTCCCTGTTTCCAGGCTTTATGCTAAGCTAAGCTAACTAGCTGCTGGCCCTAGCTTCACATTTACCTTGTGTGATGAGATATAACATGAATAATTGATCATACAGTTCACATTGTGGTGAGAATTGAGAGGATGAATTCCATCTGTCAGTTCATCGTGACATGAGCTTAATGTGTTCAGCCACACAGAGGATTTCACACAGTGCTTTTTTTTTGTGCCCTTTTTCTCTTCTAATAGGCGGGAAGATTTTTTGGTGAGATTGACGGATCAGTGATGACAACACTTATCAGAATGGGCATGTTTAAAAGGTAACACACTGTGGTTGTCACTGCCTGACTGTTTGATAAGATATTTGTGTGTCCGTCTGCTTCCCTGTATGGTCGGTGTGTCTGTTAGCAAAGGTCAGGTGGTCACCGAGTCCTGACTTAGCCTGCAAGAGCCGCAACATGTTAGACTTACTGTGAACTTCTCTAAATCAATAAGGCAAGAAGTGACAGTACCCCCACATTGCACAGCAAATTGACATATTAATTGGATTACATGTCACCCTCATGCTATATCACAAACAGACGTGGTTGCTGTGGAGGCTTGTGTTAACCGGGAGAGTGGCTTTTAAATGTTTTCCGTTTGCCTTTTTGTTCTTATACACCTGCATCAGTATGCATATGCATCTCAAAGCCTAGAGGGCATGTTTACTGTCATTATAGAGACTCAAAAGCTTTGCTTTGATTGCTACATAATGGTATAGTCTCTGCCCTGTGTTGTACTCTCTACATGCTAAGGGTAGCTAACTCACCTATCTTTGTATATGTGGTAGAGATGTTCCTGCTTTTCCCCTTTGCTCCCATTTGAGCTCTGGATTTTTTTTCCCTCTTACTTTTTTCCCGTCTTTTATGTTTGGATTCTCAAAAGCGATGTGCTATTTTTATACAGCTAAAAGATTTTGTCATGTTTCATTTGACACAGGATATTACATAACTGGTTTAGAGCATGCATGAACTTCAGTGGCTGTGCACTCACACTTGCACTTATATCTGCAAATGTGTGTGTGTGTGTGTGTGTGTGTGTGTGTATGTATGTGTTCTTGTGCTTCTTCCTCCATAGAGGACCACTGGGTCAATCCTCTTTTTAAAAAGGAAAGTAATTCTAGCCCTGGGATGCATTTTTCTCTGGTTTCTGTAAGTTAGGGATCAGGGTTTCTTCAAAGGTTAAGCTTAGCTACACAACACTGTGCGTAATAGTCTTCAGGAGGTCAAGGAATCGATGTAAGTTAGTGAAATACTGCCTGAAGACCAACACCACATGCTTTTGTGTCTGTGTGTGTTTCCTCAGGGTGTCCCTGTTCGACTACCAGGCCATGTGTAAGATGAACCTGCACTCTGTCAGCAGCGCCCGTCCACTCCTCAGTGTATGCACAGTGTACTCACTCTGTATACAATATTATTACCATAAACGGTCCAGTCAATTCTGCAGTAACTATAATCTATATCTGTTTATCTCTTCAGCCGTTCTATGGTTTGGCTTCAGCCCTCAAGTGGTTCCTCTCCAACTTCCTACTGTAAGTGTTGCTAAAATCCGCCAACCGGCATCTCTGAAGTTCACTGACATACAGTATTAGATCTTGTTAGTTTAATCTGTTAAAAGAAAAATCGAATAGTAAAAACAATAATTGGCTGTTTAACGGAAAGTCATGTGCTGGACTGAAAACATTTCAGTTTTGACTGTAGTGACTTGGTAAGGCTTATCTAGTTATCCAAAAAACTGCTACCAATTACTGCTGAATAATTTGAGGACCCATTTTCATATTCCCATGACACAACTTTGGGTCCTGGCCCAGTTTTTGAACGCTGAATGCAATCTGCTCACAATCTGCTTTGGTCTATAATGATGGCCGGCTAATTGACTCCCTCTGTCTGTCCACTCTCCTCTCCTCTCTTCCTCACAAGGTTTCTCCTGGAGTTTAATATCTGCGGCTTCTGGCACACGGAGCATTTCGCTGATGGTGAGCGCTACAAGAAAACACACAAACTCGATCCATCTTTGTGACAAATGTCCCTTTTATATGTGCTAAGAAATGTCCCTCCATGTGCATAAATCATGTATATTCTGTCAATCATCACAAGCTTCAGAGGAGATATTCAACATGTACCTTAGAGTAAATTCTTTTGATATAGCACATATGAGATCATTACATATTTTAATCATCGGGGTATTTACACACATGTGTGTCAGACCAGGAGTGTTTACTGTAAGTTGTGTTAATTAATAACAAAGTCATTGTGGAACATCGCGTCCTCGGATCCCCTCACCTCTCATCTACATCTGTCTTTCCATCAATCACACATTCTCTTCCTCATTACTCCACCTGTCAATCATCCACTCTTCCTCCTGCTCTGCGTTGTCATCATCATCATCATCCCTTCATTCAGCCAAGGCATCTTTCAGCGTGTGTGAGTATCTGTCTCGAAGTGTTTTTCTGGAAGATCCGTCCTCTGTATTACGTGTGTGGTGTAGTGTTTTTGTAGTATACTTCAAACTAAATAAAAATGTGATGTCTCTGATTATGTAAGTAGCTTTCAGTAGGAACAGGCACAACTGGCAAATTCTACAAAACAAGACCTAAGCATATTGTTACGCTGAAACTAATGTAATTCTGAGAAAGGCAGACAGAAAGCGTAGCTCGCAACCAGACGTGAAAGTGAAAGCAAGTCATTATGGCTCTTCGTTCTGGTTTTAAAACCCATCATTTTACCCGTTCAAAGATACCTAATTCAATTTAGTTTACACAGCAAGGTAGAGTACCCCTGGTCATGGTAGGAAGAGCAATAAGTGACTCAAGTGTGAAGCATTAAAATAGCACCCAGCATTTCCCCGTCATAGACTCTTAGCCTGTCAAAACTTCACACACACTTATTCTAATTCCCAACCTGGAAACATGACCCGTATCTATTTCTCTATTAGCCTCAGCTCATAAGAAAAGAGGGGACCTCCTGCAGCCATGTGACACCGAGTACCCCAGCTTCGTCTACGAGCCGTCAGTCAAAGAGACCAACAGCATTATTAAGTGTGGACGCTGCCAGAAGTAAGCACACACTCATACACACTCATGCACACACACACGCCTGCAGTGCAGTCCCCTCTAAGCCCTGGACCAGTCATATTAAATTGTCCTCCCCAAATCCATTTTCTACGGCTTTGCTCTGCACGCTGAGAGCAGTGTGTGTTTATACAAGAGTATCAGGAAGGGGGAAATAAGTAGAAAGAAACAGAATTAGATCTGGGTGCATGTGGTGATAGAAAAACCGAGAAGCATACATGGAGCAAGAGAGAGAGAGAGAGAGAGAGAGAGAGAGAGAGAGAGAGAGAGAGAGAGAGAGGGAGACTGGAAAACTGAGAGAAAGTATTCAGAGATGTAAATGAAAAACAGTGATGAGGAGAGAGGGTGACAGAAACAGAAATGGAAAAACAATGGGAGACAAGAGGTGAAAGAGAGGGAAGCATCTTAGCATATGTATGCGTATCTGTGTGTTTGTTTAAAAAGAGAGAGAGAGAGAGAGAGAGAGAGCACAAAGAAAAGGGAGAGAGACAATGGTAATATTTCAGCAGGTTTGTGATTATACGTTGAGTGTGAGCGCCCTCGTGAGGCCAGAAGAGGTATAAAGCAGCATGAACACTGCCAACAGTAACACTACTGGGAAAGATTATTGGCTTAATGTTTATTACCCAGTTCTGCCAACCCATGCAGTGGGTAAGTATAAAAATGCAAGTATTTTCTCATAAAAAAGAGCCTCTAAAATTATTATATGAAACATTGTTTGTAGTTTTGCATAAAATTATACCTTGACAAAGTGTTAAATGTCATACAATACATGAGAGGTTTTCTTTCTCTCTGCACATGTTGACACATTTAATGTAATGTGTGTTTGTGTGTGTCAGGATGTTTGTGGTGCAGCAGATCCCAGAGAGCAACCTGTTGATGTTGGTGGTGCAGGCCGACTGTGACTGCTCCAGACAGTACCCACCCAGCACCATGGAGCCCGAGGAAGTCAAATATATCCTTTGATATTTTGGTCTTCATTGACTTATTAATTACTATGAATTAGTTATCTCTCCTTAACTCACATACAAAATTGGATGTTGTTATAGTTTGGTCTACATAATCGGTTTGCTGACCTTTTCAACTTTCTCCCAAATGAATTCCCTTTGTGCTGCAGTCCCAGTTGCTCTGGAGAGGCTGTACACAGACCAACAAGCAGGAGTTGTTGTTGTCTAGAATCTTTACCAGCTTCCCACCAGTGAACTCTATAATTGTGTTTTGATTTTCCCCTTGGCCCACGCTTGCTCCACTCACTCAGATTCTGATTTGTTAAATATGCCAGTGTATTGATATTTGAATGAGAATTCAAGAGACACCTGTTCATGTTGTTGCTCCTTGACGCTGCAGCACATAACGCTTCGGTGAAGTGTGACAGGATGCGGTCCCAGAAGATTCGCCGACGCCCCGAGTCCTGCCACGCCTACCACGCACAGGTCAGCTTCTAATTGGTCCACCCCGTTGCAGCAAATAGTGTACAATCCTAGTAATACGAACCTAGCTTCTATATCTGCTGTCATATTTAGCTTGATTGTACTCTCTCTTTTTTTCTCTGTTTAGGAGAACGCCAATGACTGTGGAGGAGCTTCTGTTATATCTCTCTCTGCCTCTCTCTTCCTCACCTGCCTCTCCTTCTCGACAATTGTCTCCTGATGATGGACAACTTTGCTATTTTACCCAATTTGAATGTGAAGGAGGAGATTGGAATGAATCAAGAGATGTGTTTGAACACTGGACACCTCAAGCGGATTTTTTAAAAACTAATGTTGCACATTTTGCTCATTTTCTCATGGCAACCACAAACCTATAGTTTCTAATGATGGACCTATGATGTCGTTTTTGAGCAGTTTTTAGTTAACTCTTGGCAATTATTATGTTTGAACTGCAAAGAAGGCAAGTTAATGGGCTGTTGTTGCCATGGATACTTTTCCATTAGTAGCTTTCTCACACACCACTTTGCATCTCAAAATGAAAAGGGACTAAAGAGACACTGGTGGTGGCTATGACGTGCATTGATAAAAGAGGATTATGAGTCACAAGATGCAACATTAAAAAGTCCAGGGGGGGGGGAAATGTGTTTGTCATTTCCCAAATCCCACAGAACTTAAAATTGCAAACACACATGCATATTATATATGCAGCTGCAAGCATGCAATACTTTGTCACCCTGAGTGCTTCATCTACTGTCTATCCTACATGATTTTTAAAACATTGAATAAGAGAAGGGCTGCAGCAGTATATGGTTGTTGTGTAACATCAATTTTGCTGCTGAAAGTTGTGTTTTACAAGGTTGTTTGCAATATTAGTTTCTCTGAATCTTCTGCAAATCTCAAAGGGTGATGGCTCGGTGCCAAGAACGTACTGATAAAAATGTAATAAAATGTAATAAAGATAATTATGAAATCAGAATGGGAAGTCCCTTCACTCTCTTATTTTTGAGTTTTTACTTGGATTGCATCCCAAAAATATTTGTTTCGTGACATATCTTTTTTTTATTTTTGAGTCTGCCTTGCTGTCTTTATCAGCTGTGTCTTTCTGTGTGTTTGTACATACTGTATGTAATTATGCTTGGCTGGACATCACTGTGGAAACTGGAACTCTTAAGGATGTAGATCTACAATCAGAAACACAATGATGGATTCAAACTGTTTTGATCAGATTTCTTTTTGTTTGATTTATGCAATTATGGTTTCAAGGAATATCTAGGTTAAAATAATACCCCACAAAAGATGCAGTACCAAAACGTTATTTTTTCTGAAATAAATTTTTATGGTGGTGAACTATGGATTTCATAGACTGTGGTTACTTGGGCCCCAAGGTCATGCAACTGCTTATTACTTGGCATAAATAACAGATTAAAAAAATTCATGATAAGAGAAAAAAAGGGAAGCACTTACTCTGGCAAACAAGATTGTCACATGGAAAAAAAACTGGAAAATGTCTCATAATTGCCATGTAAATTAACAGTGTAAATCTAATTGAATAGGGTATTTTTGTATTTGCTTGTGTTTCATATTTTGAACGTCTGCATTTTATTGTATTTTGGGCTGAGTGTCCCTGTAGCTTTTTTTAATAGTATTTCTGAATCATCCTACAAAGCATGTCTTTACGTTGAGCTCACTATGATGACAAAATTGCCTGAGAATTTGCCTGTTTATGTCATAGATTCAGATACATATTGTTCGTGAGTGTGCATCATTACAGTATGTTGTGTCTTGCTGAGATGATCTGAGTAATTTTATTCATTTGTCTCGGTTTTGTTCGTAATTTCCACTGTACAATATTCTGTATATTGTGTGGTTGACATGTGACCAAGTTGTATGTTGACTGACTGAAATCATGATTTGAGCAACTAAATTAAATGATCCCTATGGTTTTTGTACTGTATTTGTTGTGAGTGAGTGTTCTGTTTTGTTTGTCAGTGATTAAATTCATTGCACACATAAAGATACTAACATTATTCACAGGCTAAAACAGAGAATCAGTCAAGGAATTTTACCAACAATCACAAAGAGATGTATATCATAAATGTATCATAAATCATGGTGATCTAATTTAACAATAAACACCCTACATTTTTCAATATTTTCATCTAACTGGAATTCAATTGTAAAAGTAATGTGTTACATAATGTCCTTGAATTTATTTGTATTGCACCAGTAACAGGAACGATGCAACTGCAAAATATCGTCATGAGACACTTGCTGTGTGATGCTTTACAGAAAAGCTGTATGTAGTGTGATGGTTATTCATCTTAACTTGTGTCATGGAATCTGAATCCAGTATTACTATATTCGTCCACTGAAATTATGAACAACAGTGCACTCAGATTGCACTCATGCATCAGATTATTTTGACTCATTTTCAGATGCTGCTGTAGACTATAAATGACAAATGACTCACCAGGAGCATCATCCAGTATAGTAGTTTACAGTTTCAGATTTCTGTATTCAGAGATGCTTCCTTTCATCTTGGCTCCTTGACGTCAGCACAATTCACGTAAACAATAGACAAACATACTTATGAGAGGGAAAGAAAATAAGGGATTAAAATAATCCATGGTCAACGTTGTATGTCTATGTTATGAGAAACAGTCAAAATGTTGACCTAGGCCTACTAACTCGGTCATTCTTATGAGATAAATGTATTTCAATTTACGAGAAAGTCAATATTTCATCTTTTCTTCTTACAAAATTGCCTCCTAATTAGCCTAGAATAAACTCCCTAAAGTACCCTAGCTCTTGTTTGACTTGTATCGTGTGTACGCGGTCTCCAGCAGGTGTGTAATTAGTGAAGTGGACCAGCAGAGGCGCTAGTTGTCCCTCTCTGTCTCATTGTTTTGCGGCTCAGCGTTGCTTTGCACCGCCGGGCGGAGAGAGCGACGGGTCAGAGGAAAATGGCGGACGGTGTGGATCACATCGATATCTACGCCGACGTAGAGGAGGAATTCAACCAGGTATTAAATACGCATTCACCACACTTCGACGAACGGTGGTATTTTCTTTAAATGTACGTTATCCACCGTTGTTAGTATTTTTCGGAGAATGGTGTGTTCTGCTGGGTAAACGGGTTCCCTCGCATACAGGCCCCTCTTTCCACCATGATGCAAGCCTGCATCCTCGGTTATGTTTTTCGGCTCGAAATGCTGCATTTTGAGGTTTTGTCGACAGTTAGGACGGCGTGTGATGCAAGTAGTAATGGGCATGCACGGTGCAAATTAAAACATGTGTTTAGGTGAAAGCAAAAAGCAATCACTTCTATTGTTGAGCACGCATAGTTTCAGGCCTTTTTTGCATGGCTGCCTGTGGCGGGCTATCGAGCATAACAAACGTAGTTTCGTTAGCTAGCTGGCTAGCGTTAGCTGCTTCCCAAAAATATTATGTTTAGTAAGTCTCTTTTGAAGTTTGTGTTTTCAGTTCATTTCAGCAGACTCTGGAAACTAATGTAAATGTGGTTTGGTATGAAACGTTTATTGTATGAATTATAAACGTATTTTAATAGATGTAACATTATGGATCGTTAGCTTAATGTGGCGTTACGATGTTATGTGTCCGCTGATGTTTTCTCCCTCCACACACGCCCCTTTTCCAAATATCCAAACCTGTGATGCAGATATTTTGTGTTTGTAGACCAGTTAGAGGTAACGTTATCTGAGGTAACGTTATCTGCGCCAACATCTGTCTCCCATAGTGTAGGTAGGACTGTAATGTAACAACACAATGTAAAGATCATTTAACATCTGTCCGTATGAGCAGTAAACATCACAGCAAGTCGTTGTGAAATGTGTCAATGTACTGCTGCAATTTTTGCATGTCTGCCAACATATACACCAATACTCATATCAGTAAGAAACAATTATTGCCTTTATATCTATGAGCTGTACACAGCACACATTAAAAGCATACCACTAGCCTGGTTGAACTGATAAAGGCAGGGGACTAGTGAATAAAGTTAAAAAATAAATCAGGATTTCCTGTATCACCAGTTTACTTCTGCAATCAAATCAAATACTAAAAGTCAAAAATATATCCCTACATTGTGTTACTGATGTACTGAAAAATCATCAAAATATGTTCTGCATGTTTTTACAGTACACTTAGTGCTGTTTGTAAAATCGATGAAAAATTGACACGGCAGCATAAATCACCATAACACACCTGCTCCGTGTCACTGCAGCGTGGGCACCGGGTAGTACATGCAGATGAATGGCAACCGTCGTCCTTCCATGCTGCAGCGCAGAGAGCCGCCGCCCCCGCTCACCAGCTCAGAGCACATTGACAAAGGCATCAGACTTTGTGTTCTGAAAGTCTCACTCTCGTTTGACTGAACTGTTGCTGTCATGCTCAACAGGAAGCTGACTACCCGGTCCACGATCAGATCGACCTGTATGATGATGTAATATCCCCATCGGCCAACAATGGCGATGCTCCAGAAGACCGTGACTACCTGGACACGCTGCCTACAGCAGGTGGCTCAGAGGGAGGGAAGAGTTCCCAACCCAACGTGGTCTACACCTACACAGGCAAACGGATTGCCCTGTACATAGGAAACCTCACATGGGTGGGTATCTTGAGAATCCTGCTCGGGCTATTTAGGCCCGTAGAGGAAAATTCCAGTTTTAAGAGCATGATTATATAGTAGCACCATTATCTTTAAATACATTTAAGACAGTCCTGTAAACACGGTATTCTAATGCAATGCCAAATGTTGACCCACACATTTGTCTGCACATTGTGACGCTTTACATTATGAATATCAAATTAAGCAAGTCAGCACAAATATGCTGATGACGCCTTCTTTTGTTATGCAGTGGACGACAGACGAGGACCTGACGGAAGCTATCCGGTCGGTGGGCATCACGGATGTGCTGGAGATCAAATTCTTTGAAAACAGAGCCAATGGCCAGTCAAAAGGGTGAGCTGTTTTTGACATGATTAAACTAAATTGTAGCCTGTTGTAGATAAAGATTATTATTATTATTATTATTATTATTATTATTATTATTAGTCACAAGAAATGAGAGAATTCTTTACATTGAAAGAAATACAGTGTCAGAATGTTTTTGCATGAATCTGATTGTGTTTATCCTCTGCGTTCATCTTCCAGGTTTGCGCTGGTGTGCGTGGGCTCAGAGGCATCATCTAGGAAATTAATGGAGCTGCTGTCAAAGAGGGAGCTCCATGGTCAGAATCCCATCGTCACGGCGTGCAACAAACAGTCCCTCAGCCAGTTTGAGATGCAGTCACGCAAAAGTAAGCAGGATAAATGCATATTTGGAATCTTTGTATTTTAAAAGCACTCAACTCATTTTGATCATTTAAATGCTTAAAAATGCTAAAGAAAAATGCTAAAAATGTCATGTAAATGATATTTGCAAATGCCCTGAAATGTGCATGTGCAGTCAAATGCACAAGTACACTTATCACACAAATTCAGTGATTGATCTCATCATGTTTAAATGTGTATAAAAACACAACATTTATTGCATATTAAATGGAAACTTGAGTTACTATTCAGGTAATTTCTCAGGTACCCAGTCAGGCCAGATGTCTGGGGAAGGAAAAGCTGGTCCCCCTGGTGCTCCTCGAGGAGGGTTCCCCATGGGTCGAGGCAGAGGCAGGTTCCCTGGACCACCCGGCCCCGGTGGAGACCGCTTCCCTGGTCCCGTTGGACCTGGAGGACCGCCCCCACACTTCCCTGGTTAGTTTGGTAACACGTGTTTGTACCAAATCTGTTCTGTTCACAGATAATATTTATAAACTGCAGAAATCAGATGAAGTGGTTAGTGATTGTGAGTAATTAAGAACAGTTTATGCTATAGCAGGTTTATTAAACATTTTTTAAACAATATAGCATTGCAACAGATTGACATAATCACCATAATGTGACAAATGAAAACTTAACATGAGATGAAGTGAAATCTTGCTTTCTGTCTGACGGTGCTGCTCTGTAAGCACAGTCCAGGCTTTGCTGCTAGTCTTGTGTGCAATCTTCCAACTATTAAGTCTCCCCTGGCAGGACTTGTTCTTTGCATGTCCGTCCGTCCGTCTCCCCCCCCCCCCCCCCCCCCCCCAAATCTGGTTTGTTCTGTCGTTCACCTCCAGTTGAACAAATAATCCTTCCCTGGCTGCACTTTTCGGCTCACTAACAATTTCCAACACCGTTGCTTGAGAAGCAGTTTGCTCAAAGCTTTACTCGGCAAGCTGCCAACTTTAAATTCCTTGCAAATCTCGGATTGGCCGTCTCACACACATGGTAGGAGAGAGTGGAGCTGCCAGCTTTTCTTTTCCCATTTTTGCGTCTTTTCCTCTCCATCCCACCTTTTTTTCACATCTCTTCTTTTGCTTAGTGGCTGGTGCCCCGTGCTGCTGGGCTGTGACAGGCCTTCAGTTAGTAGGGGGCAGTTTACGACAGGGAGAGTTGTGATTGGTTTGCTTTCTTCCCCATCAGGCCCGGGCATGAGACCAGATCTGATTAGGCACCAAGATGGCCCTCTGATGGATATGAGTTTCAATCCCTTCCCGCCGGGGGGCAGGAACGGGAACTGGCGTGGCAGAGGTGAAACACCTCAATTGATCTGATTGAATCTATCGATCACCTTTTTATCCTAAACCTCAGCTGTTTATTGGTGGGAGTTATACCATTAAAAACAGCTGAATTTCTCATTCTCTTAATCCCTTAATATACCGTTTCCACAAAATGCTAATAGCTTTACATAAGGCCGGGATAACAGTGTTCAAACTAAAACATTTTAGAGATGTGCTTTGTTCTTTTAAAGTCAGTTACTTCAGATCAAAAATTCACAATAGGTTTTAAAAAGCATCCCCTGAAACTACAAAAACAAGTTTTATGAGGTCATTCTACATTTTGTCTATCAAATTCATACTGCCTCGAGAAAACTCGACTTTTTCCATGCTTGTCTTATATCTAGTTAGAATATATATATATATATGCAGGATGTATGTACCTCTTTTGCTCCTCTATGGCTCAATGTCAACAAAGGCTTCCCTTTACACGTGTAGCTGCATGAGAAAACCAAATGCATCCGGCGAAGCCTTGTAGGTCTTATTTGCCTTAAATGACGTCTCATGAGTTGCATGGGGATGATCATTCTGATAACTGCAGTACGTACACTATCTCAAATATGTATGAGCTTGTCATGCTGAAGTCTTGGCAGCGTATAGGAATGCTCCCTCTCAGTGAAGCGTTTAGGAAAAAGAGCAGTGAATGCACGGCCTGTGGTTTAAAAAAACCTGCTTGAAACAATTTGCCTCAAGTGTATCTCATCATCTGTTCTGTTGCCTTCTGGTTTCATTTGCAGCATTATTTTTTTATTATGTGCCCTTTTGACATTTTTAGTTCCCTGTAGCTATGACTTGCTCTTTATCTGTCTCTGTTATTGTCCCTGATTTGAACTGGCTTTTTCAAGGAAATCATGTGAAATACCGGCCACTTCAGGATATTAAAATTAGAGCTTGACCGATAGATCGGCCGATAAATTATTTTCAACCAGCCAATTATAATTTCAAGTAGAAAAGGCTTAGTGTTGTTTTTTCCCCATGATACTCAAATGCTGGGGAGAACTCTACCTGCTATAACATAAACAAAAGATAAAGTATTTACAAGATCTTTGTCTAATGCACTTCTGTTTTGTCCCTTGTGTTCTCTTCTAGGTGGGATGCAGGGTCCCCCACGTCCTCCTCTTGGTCCTCTTGGTCCACCTGGTCCACCAGGGCCTCCACTTCCTGGCCAGGGCCCCCCTCCCCTTTCTGGTCCTCCAAATCGAGGCGATAGGCCTCCTCCCCCTGTTCTATTCCCTGGTCAGTTTGGCCAGCCTCCAATGGGACCCCTGCCCCCAGGTCCCCCTCCTCCAGGTTACGGCCCTCCTCCCGGTCCCCCACCCCCTCAGCAGGGCCCGCCACCCCCGGGGCCCTTCCCTTTACGTCCCCCAGGCCCACTTGGGCCCCCCATGGCTTTGGCTCCACCTCCACACATGCCGGGTCCCCCGCCGGGTGGACCACCACCAGCACCCCATGTCAACCCTGCCTTCTTCCCCCCACCTGGCAACAACAACATGCCCCCTAATGACAACCGAGGACCCCCTGGACCAAACGACCCATACGGACGCCCACCACCATATGAAAGAGGGGACTACGGTCCTGGAGGCCGGTAAGAATGGGTGGTGGAGGTGAAACAAATATTGAACATAGTAGTTCAGATAATGGAGGTTTTGCTCATTGTATAAGTTCAAGAATTCTGAACGTGCATAGGTAGTTGCTGATTTACACTTAAATGTTCTTTTGTTGTTGAACCTCATTTAGATTGTTTTCAAAGATAACAGTGTCTTTTGTAATTTAACTCATGCATTGACATTTGTGTGTATTTATAGTGAGATGGAGGCTTCTCGGACCCCTCTGAGCGAGGCAGAGTTTGAGGAGATCATGAACAGGAACAGAGCCATCTCCTCCAGCGCCATATCTAGAGCAGTGTCTGATGCCAGTGCAGGTAACACGCATCAGAATACAGACGTGCACACATTTAATGTCAACAAGACAAAACACTGAGAGCCTATTAAAACCTAATGCAACCTTGTGTTCTCCTTAGCTGACTATGGCAGTGCTATAGAGACCCTGGTGACAGCTATCAGTCTGATTAAGCAGTCCAAAGTGTCAGCAGACGACCGCTGTAAGGTCCTAATCAGTTCCCTGCAGGACTGTCTCCACGGCATTGAGTCAAAAAGCTACGGTTCCGCCTCCAGGTAAGATTCTGATTTTGTGCATTAGCCATTAAATGTGACACAAGTTTTTTTTAAAGCTGAAAAGACACAGAAACCACTTGTCAGATTGCTTATCTTGAGAATATTTTGAATATATATCTATATAGAATAACTTGAAAAAAATGTGAGTTAGCCAGATTTGAAGTGTGGACTATTTCCTGCCTGTATTTGTGTCTGTATCTAAACAATTTCTTCCAATTGGGAATTGGCCCTGGAACATTTGGTATTTGAAACTTTGAACCCCTTGTACCCAGTCCAATGATGCTTGTCCATGCCAGGCGAGAACGTTCCAGGGAACGGGACCACAGTCGCTCCAGAGAAAAGAGCCGACGTCACAAGTCCCGCAGTCGTGACAGGCATGAGGACTATTACCGAGAACGCAGCCGGGAGCGGGACCGCCATCGTGAGAGGGACCGTGACCGAGACCGGGAAAGAGAGAGGGAGAGGGAGTACCGACACCGCTAGAGGAGAAGGGAGGTGGGTACCACATTTCCAGAGTCATTTACTTCCGTCATAAGCTCTTTTCTGTCTTCTTCATCACTGCACTTTTTAGACCTGGATCGAGGCAGAAGATGCGTTCGCTGCGCGCTCCCCTCCTCTCTTCTTCATTGGATTAAAGGCTTCGGTTAAGTTTAGGATTTTCTGTGCCTATATCCTATTTGGCCAAATTAATCTACAGAGGGTGTCGTGTGACACCCAGGATAACAAATTATCAAGGAAGTGTTGCCTCTGGTCCTCATTGATACAGTCAGTCATACGCCATAAAAGGCTTTTGGGCATTTTAAAAACTTTTGAAATAATTATTTACAGTAGAGAGCGACAAATTTAAATCTCCCTCTATGAATATATGAGGAAGTAGACAAGGAGAGAGGAGGTAAGCAATGGAAAATACTCCTTTGGTTTCAGGTAAGGTACGGTAAGTCTGCTTCTCTTCAAATGTCCTAATTAGTCATCACAGTTGTGTCGTGTATCTGGTCTTTCAGACAATATGTCACTTGCTGTATTCACCCTGCTATATTGCACAAAGGGGTTTGTAAGAGTTGTATCTATGCTGTGGTTCTCCCCAAATCAGAAAAGACACTGATAATTACTGGCAATTGACTATGTGGATGTATTGTTACTTTTTGGTCTACATGCCTCTGAGGCTGGCAATGTGCAAAATTTGTCAGCCACTTTTTGGATTCTGCCAAATAGATTTCAAACCAAAATACAGAATTCTGTAACAGAAAGCCGTATTGCTTGTACACTTTATTTATTGCTGGGGCGGGTAAACCTGTGAACTAGTTCAGAGACTCTCCTTAGATGATCCTTAACTAATCTAAACATCGGTTTGGCTCCTAAAAAGTGAAATTTATCAAAATTTTGTTTTTACCAGCAGCTATGGCCAGTGGACCAAAAACAATATTTTTTCTGCCTTTTAATATGAAGATTCAATAATTAATTGCCATTTTATTATATGTGAGTTTAATTGAAGTGTATTGTGGCTTGGTTTGTCAGTGTGCTTGTAATAATAGTCAAAGTATTCCCCGATCATTTTTTATAATACTTGGTACAGAGTCAGCATTTTTGGGTCTGTTCAAATTGGATTGTATTTTTAGAAGAACAAAAAAATGACAATGTTGAACTTGTCGATAGCTCAATCTACACTTTGTAAATGTTCCATTCACAGTCATGTTGTATACGTATTACCATTTCAGTTGAATTTATATAATTGTCATGGGAAGATGAACATTCATTTATCAAACAGTGTTGATAACTGCTTTTGGACACAGAATGTTATTGTGCCATATTTGCATTAATATTGCCTGACATTTTACTTTTGTCGAATTGAATGTTTTGTAGCCTCGTATTACTCACTTATGAACCATTGCTCCTCAATTTAAGAAAAAAACATAAGATCTTAATGCCCGAATACACCATTTTTTAAAACAAAACAAAATTTGAAGTTCTGCTTGAGTTAATCAATGGCTTCGCATTGACATTTTTTGTAATTTTCTAATTGTCAGAATTGGTTAACATTCAGGACCAGTGCACGATTAATTGCAGTGTCTTACAGATATGATTGGCAAGAGTAATTTACATGTACACATTGAATAATAATACGGTTTCTAGTTGAGTTATCTGTCAATATAATTGAAGGTATAGAACTATTTTTATGTCAATGCAGCAGATTCATGACTATGCTAATTGTTATTTGTCATTGACTGATACATAGTTTACATTTTGTATTTTATGTGACTTGTATGTACATTGAAATGATTCCCACTTAGACTGCGGTGTAGATTTTTAATGATAAACAGTCATCGGTTGGCAGGAGATCATTTGGCTCATAGCGTTGTGTTTTCTGCTGGCTTTTAGGGTGTTGAGTCATGTTATGGATGAGTTGCAGTTAAAGCGATACAACACCAGCTGGTGCACAACAAATATCAATACCATGTTGCAAGTGGTTTGTTGCTCTTAAATCCTTTGAGGTAAATCTTCTGTAGGCTAATTGTCTGGCTTGGTGTTAGGTTTCCATGCGCTACTTGTGTAACGTTTTGGAACTGCAGTTGAAATATCTGGTTTGATGGATTTCTGTGTGTCGTTCTCATGTCCTTCACTGCCAAAGCACTTAAGATGTTAATGGTATATAAACCAGTCCTTGTAGAGAAGAGTCCAGTAGGTTACTTGGACCCTTTAACATCCCTGTACAGGTGTGCATCACCCCAAATAATATTTCACTAGCTTTCAGACATGAACTACATTCACTCTTGAGACCGTGTTGTCTTGATATAAACATACACATATGTTATACGTGCACTATTTCATATATGTCTCCCACACTGAGAAATATTAATTGGGGTGGTTTTGCTTGTGGGGTTGCTGAATTTTGAAAAGCAGGCAAAACTCAGACCAAAATAATTTAACTTACCACCTCCCTTATCCGTCAGCCCAAGCTAAATAGATCTTATATGTTAGAGCTAACAGTCCAAATACAAACCAGTTCTTTTACTAAAGACTTTGTGTCCACTGGGAACCTCTTACCAAAAGATGACTCTTTAAAACAATCACTCCTCATCAACAGTAGAGCTGCAGTCTCCTCCAACACATTTCATGTTGTTATCTCTGTTGGATAAGAGATCCCCAGTGGGCACAGGGCCTTAGAACTTTTGGTTAGATGCATTTGTTGAGTATATTTTCAACAAATGTTTCTCGGTGTAAATCTGCCTTTGCATTAAGTGTGATATCTTGGAGCATGGTCATTAGGGGGGGGGGGGGGAGAATGAAGCATATTGCTGTTAATCCTGATGGTGGGATGGCTATTTGTTGTGTCCACAGATATGCTTTAAAGCTCTTGTATCTGTTCATATTGACATGGGGGGATGTACACTGTGTGCAACAGGCTGCTTAACTGTTTTTGTCTGTAGCCATGCACCATGTAAACCGTTTTCTACAGCAAAAAAACGTATCACGTTTGAACATGCATTTGAATCTCTGAGTCATGTGAAATCCTCTGTACTCATTTGAGGCCTTTTTGGTGCAGATACACCAGCTGTAAGTCACCCTGTAAATCAAAACCTTGCATCACCATTTATTAATCCCATTTTACATAATTACAAGAGCTGACAAATTTGAAATGACTTTCTGTATCAGAAGTGTTGTCGTTTCACCTGATAAATGTAATGTTTCTGTTAAGAGGTGCTTTAAATTGGGTCAGAATGTAATGCGGGTAGTGGAGCGTTATTGACAGTGTAACTGTTCATAGCTGCTGTCATTAATAATTACCATAAACTCCAGTCCCTGCAGTTTCCTGTTCCTTGCATGCTGCACTTTGTCTTTCTCAATTCTAAAAACTAAATACTGCAGCTTAAATGCTGGCATAGTGTTTACTAGGCCATAAAGGTATCAACTAAATTAAATGTAAAAATATAAAATAATATTTATGTAACTGGGCGGTTGTAACAAAGTATCAGCTACTGTGTCTGAGTCAGATGCGTGCCTTCCTCTCTGTAGTTTTATGTTTTTATCTATGGCTCTTTTGTCTTTTCTGTGTCTTTAACTCCGATATTGCTGAATTTAATGACAAACTGGTTGTCGCAAACGGTCCTGCACTGTTTCTATGTAACATGTCCCATTGGTTCAGTTTGTAGGTCTGTACCTAAAGCTCACCAGCACTAGCTGGTTGTAAGGGAAATGTGTTTTTGAAATAGCTGAATGATAAACGTTTTACTATGGCTAAATAAAAGTAATCTATAATCCACTAGATGTTTATAGGTCATTGGTACTTCTTTTAAGGGGAGGAGGCAACTCTTTAAAAAAGAAAATGAACAATTTACCAAGAAAGTTTTACACTTTTTGCAAACCACACAAAGCAGAAAATATGCTACACTGTGCAGAATGGATCCTTTAAAGCCAGCCAGGTGCACGCTGTAGGACTGTGATTCCCTAGAATGTTCTTTACCTTTTTAAGATTTTATTCATTCCCCCTCGTGTCCCTCCCTGAATTGGAAATCATGTAACAAAAATGTCCAAATTCACTGCCCCAAGTCTTTAGATATACTGTATTTTATATATTTTTATATGGTTGTCAATTATTGTCAGTCAAGTAGCTTATGTAACATGCAAGCATCTATATAAGAATTCCTTCACGCTTATTTAAACAATTTCAAATCCATGGGATAAAGTGCATTTAGGCATAAATTCAGCTGCATATTGTATTATTGTTCTGCTCTGTGTGTGTACATACTGATAAACTTCAGATTTGCTTCTTGGATATTTCCTGTTCAAGTTTGCATGACCATGTTTGTGTCTGTGCCCGGGTTGGGTGCAATTCAGTCAACGGAGCCCTAACAGGAAATTCTGCCATTTAGATGCCCCGTTTTCTGACCCCCTCCCCTACAGACCCCGTTGTCACAGTAACTTGTTCAGTAAGTGGATTTGGAAGAACTCCAACCCTGTGACAGTGAATTGAGCCCAGCCCTGGTGTGCACTATGCACGTGTAGTCTAGAGGTTTAATGATGAGGGGGGGAGAGAGAGTGTTCACTGTTGGGCTGCCTCGAAACCAAACTCCACCCTTCGTTTTGACACCTTTCAGCTAACGAGGATCAAGGATGGATGGAAGAAAAGGGAGGAAGAGTTTCAGTTCGCCACCACCTCCCCACCCTGCATGACCGGACAGGAATACCAGCACCACCTCTTCCTCCATCTCTCCTCTCGGTCTCCACCCATCCTTCTCTCTCTGTTCATCTTGTCTGCCTGATTAAGAGCAGTGGATGGAAGACCCTGACCTGTGTAAGGCTATGTGTTCCCAACATCTGTACTCATGGTAGCTAAAGATGAAAGAAAAGAAACTTTCCAAGCAGTTCTTTTATTTTTATGATGTTTTATTTGACATGAAGTGTGATGCTTTTTTTGCAAAGAAACAATAAAATGGCCCACAAAATCCCTAATTAGAAGACACAAACATTACATCCTATTTGTTTTGTTTTTTTATTTTTCCTTGGCTCGCTGTACTGTGTACATTCAGTTTAGAGATCAGTTTTTATAGGGTACATGTTTGATGTGTTCTCCCCACCCCTCATTCTCACTTCTTCCTTTCGTTAGAATGTTTGTAAATGTCTCTGCTTTTGATTAAAAACTAGATGGTGTTGTAATAAAAATGTTTACTGAGGTACTCGATGCATTTGGTGAATTCCTCTACGTTTGGCTCATTTATATTAAATGTGTATTTTAGATTGTTTTTCATATTGCATTTGTGTGAGGATTTTTTTATTTTTTTTTTGGGCTGTATTAGTGAGCAGCTTTATGGTTTAAAAAAAGTATTTTTTGTTATTTTATTCAAATGGATAAAACTTTTACAAGGTAAGAATTTAAATGAATGTACTTTTTTTGCAATGTGCATTGATGGAAGGGTATGTCAACGTTGAACTAGTTGAAGGGAAACGTGTACATGCAGCTCTTTGAACGCTTTTGGGCAGCTTCACAGTAAACCCAGAAGAATACTCAATACTGTTCACAAAGGGGTTTCCATTGTGTGTAACACACTGAATAGATATTACCAAGAACACTTCCAATCCAAATTGTTTCTTTGTTTTGTTAATGTGAAATTATATCACTTATATTTAGTAATCCATGTTAATTCAAGCAGCCATTGTAGTTCAAACTTGCATGGAGTTGGTCATTCTATATATTTTAGTTCATCCCATTTGGTGATTTTCCATTTAAAGAAAATGACTTCTTTTTTTTTTTTTGGCTCCTATGTCTCACACCTAACCTGTTTGTGTTCATGTTAAACACTTTTCCTCTGTCACACCATAGATACGACACAACATGCGGAACAAATTCAGTTAAACTGGTTCTTCATATGCACTTTGTTTAATATGTGATGTGCACCATAACATTAACTTTGTCATCATATGCAAGGAAGCCACCATCATGTTCATGGCTGTTTGTTTTTATAGACTGATTTTCAACACTTTGTGATCCAGAGCTTTTATTTTGTAGTATTTAAAATGATCGTTTTGACAAATATGCACTTACTTACATGTCTGTTTTTTTTACTATCTCTGATATTTTCGATTACTAAATATATTAGGCCTAGATGTCCTGATATTTGACCTTTGAGCATAAGAACAGACCAGTTAGACTGCAGTAAATAAAATAGAGGGGGATTTTTTTTTGTGGTGCTGCAAAAATATCACATGTTCAAAGGTGTTTGATTGTAAAGATTGTGGACCCTAGTCTCCAAAATGGCTAAAGCTATCACTCTGAACTTTGATGAAAATATGGTAATCAGACTGAAGGCATCCAAACGTTTTGAAAACCCAAATGATGCTCCTGCTATGTATTATTTTTTACCGTTGACTTTAAAAAGAGTGTTATATATTCACAGATAATCCATGTGATCCCATAAACTTGTAAAGGAGTAATGAAGCATTGTAAATTGGGTTTTTGTACCAAAAACCATGTGAAAAAGTGGGACATTCTGCCTTTTAACTGTTAAATGTGTTTGGGTCATGCTAGATTGACGCTGCTTTGCCTCTTCAGTTGCACCTTTAAAGGCTTTATGCCTTCGCACTTTGAGTCCTTAAGGTACATTGACTGTTGTGATCTGAACAAAGTCCCAGCAAAGTGCCACTCCATGTCATCCTAAACCGAGGTCTAATGAGCGAGAATAAGAACATGTCTGTGCAGGGCTTTCAGTAACGATACTCGGGCGTCTCGTTGTATTTGCCTTGTGCTGACTTCTCTCCACAGCGCTGGAGGTAAGTGTTTTCAGGTCTACGTCACCACAGAAGACCAAGCGGTCCAGTCCAGTGGAAGTCTGGCTGACTCTGCTGCATCAAGATAGTACCTCACACAAGCAGCTGGAAAGTATCTTTTTTTGTCTTCAGTATTTGACTTAAAGTAAAATGGTAGGATATATTTTTACTAGACATAACCTGAGCTGCAGATGCTTTTTCACTGTAACAGATAATGTAAATGTTTGAAGAGATTCATCTTTGTTTGACCCAACCTGAAACCCACCAAAGGTGTAACATGGTGAAAACGTAACTTTATTATATAACTGGTTACAATTGAGATGTTCTGCCTGTAAATGTAATTGATCAGAAAAGAGCAGAAATACATGAGAAGTTGAGTTTCTAGATTAAAAGTCACATCTAGATTATTTACAGTGGGTGTACTACTGCCTGACATTTCTTATTCTAACTACACATTACCTGTCTGGGAAAGAACCATAGCCAAAAGTCATCAAGTGGTCATTGCACTTAAAAGAAATAAATAAAACATTTGTAAATTTGGTTTTGTGGTTTTCCTTTGTACATGATGCATCTAATTGGTCTTGTTAGTGGGCATCAGGTAAAGGTAGACTATATAAATTACTTCAAGCCTACCAATGTGAATGAGATTTTCATATCAGTTTGGTCCACAAATTCTCAATTTTTCAAAATGCATTCTCCCAAATTATTTTTTTTTAAGGTTTGATGAAGGTGCAAAAACAAACATTGAAAGTAGAGATGATTGTATTTATTAGTTTGTAGTCAAAAAACGTCTACCAAATACTAAATTAAGAGTGCAAGTGTAGAAATGAGTAGAGTCTTACCTATTTAAGGGTCATGTCATTAAATGACTAAATTCTTGGACTAAATGTATTATAATAGTGCTATCTTATTGCTTATCTAGTGCATTCACATTTGACGCGAGTTGAACAAGGAAAGTTGTACTTCAACTGATCATTAAAAAATCACTACGGTTAACTGGTGTTTTCAAATATAGTTATAAACACCCATACAATTGATTTAAACTGGGATTTTGAATTATAATAAACTACGGTATCAGTACAGTAACTTATTTTGTAATGTTGACAGACTTAAAGAAACGTAATATAGCGTTTGCAGTGTGTTTGAGCCAACAGAGAAATTATGATACAAATTATTACAAAACCGTATTACACAATTCTACGCTCCTTGTCCGACGCTTCCTCCATCAGCCGGAACCTTTAACGTCTCCATGTTTCGCTACCACCGGGCAATTTAAGACGTTACACTTGTCACTTCCGGCTCTTGTTTTGGCTGGCTGTTTGAAATGAGAAGGCTGGCTGTGTGAAGCATACTTTTAATGCTTGAATGGCAGGTTTATTCAATGAGGACACACGCGGTGGAACAAGAAGAGTCCTATAGAGTGTAGCACGGGATCAACTTCACTCCTTCTACCGGACTATGTTTAAAAAGATGACCGAATTTGGTCCAGATTCCGGGGGGCGAGTTAAGGTAACGTTACACTGCAGCAGTCTCGTGTTATTGAAAATATGAGCTCATTGTATTATTACAGTAGTTCAACAATTAAACAACGAAAATGTTAATTAATAGCATCTCTAGTCAGAATTCATGTAACGTTACCCACCTTGTAATTGGGAGTATTTTAACAGGAACAACATTCATATGATTATTTATGCTTCTCCCTCTTACGTGCAGGGAATAACCATCGTGAAGCCCATTGTGTTTGGGAACGTTGCCCGTTACTTTGGGAAGAAGCGAGAGGAGGATGGACACACACACCAGTGGTCCGTCTACGTGAAGCCTTACAGAAATGAGGTGAGACATCCAAGTCACAGCAAGGCCTTTGCAAAGCTTTTTAAATTGTATACATAAATATACGTAACATTGTTCTTCCAGGATATGTCTGCCTATGTGAAGAAGATCCAGTTCAAGCTTCATGAGAGCTATGGTAACCCTCTGAGAGGTGAGTATGGGATGAGGAATCCGCTCCTGTTGTCGGGATGCATTATTATTATTATCTGTAGAGGAATGTGTTAATGGGGGTTGATACAGTTGGTACGTCATATAAGCGTACAGGCAGGTGTGTAGTGGCTCACTGTGTTTCTCTTCCTTCCAGTGGTGACCAAGCCTCCGTATGAGATTACAGAGACGGGCTGGGGGGAGTTTGAGATCATCATCAAGATCTTCTTCATTGACCCCAATGAGAGACCTGTGAGAGCCTAACATGAGCATCTCAATACTAAATACTTAACACAGGAATTTTGAGCTTTACCTCCTTGTATGTATGCTTGTATTGATTTGTGTGTGTGTGTGTGTGTGTGTGTGTGTGTGTGTGTGTGTGTGTGT